AGGTTATGAACACATGATGAGTGGTCTCTCTGGTGTTTCAGGACTGATTGTTGGTACATGTGAACAGGTTATGAACACATGATGAGTGGTCTCTCTGGTGTTTCAGGACTGATTGTTGGTACATGTGAACAGGTTATGAACACATGATGAGTGGTCTCTCTGGTCTTTCAGGACTGATGGCTCCAGAGTGAGCTACCATGGCGTTGATGATCCCTGCAGTGAAGCTGAAATGGTTGGAGCACCTGAACAGCTCGTGGATCACGGAGGACAGCGAGTCCATCGCCACGCGGGACGGTGTCTCTGTGCTCTACTCCAAGCTGCTGGCCAACAAAGAGGTGGTCCTGCTGCCCCAGCAGGTGCTGTGCCTGAAGGGCCCCCAGCTTCCAGACTTTGAACGTGAGTCCCTGTCCAGCGATGAGCAGGAGCACTACCTGGACGCTCTGCTCAGCAGCCAGCTGGCCCTGGCCAAGATGGTCTGCTCCGACTCGCCCTTTGCCGGCGCCCTGCGCAAACGTGTGCTGGTGCTCCAACGTATCTTCTACGCTCTGTCCAACAAGTACCACGACAAGGGCAAGGTCAAGCAGCAGCAGCACTCTCCGGAGAACAACTCWGGCTCGGTGGACCTGCACTCTGTCAGCGAGCGCCCCCGCTCCAGCACCGACGCCCTCATCGAAATGGGAGTTCGCACCGGCCTCAGTCTTCTGTTCGCTCTGCTGCGCCAGAGCTGGATGATGCCCCCTCCACCTGGGCCCGGCGGCACCTCTGGGGGCAGCATCAACTTGTGCAACGATGTCATCCACACAGCCATCGATGTGGTCAGCTCCCTGCCGCCCCTCTCTCTGGCTAATGAGAGTAAGATCCCTCCCATGGGCCTGGACTGCCTGGCTCAGGTCACCACCTTCCTGAAGGGGGTCACCATGCCCAACTCTGGGGCGGACATTTTAGGCCGCAGACTGGCCTCGGAGCTGCTGCTGGGGCTGGCGTCGCAGAGAGGATCCCTGCGCTACTTGTTGGAGTGGATCGAGATGGCTCTGGCTGCGTCCGCTGTGGTCAGTACCATGGAGCAGACCCAGGTCCTGCAGAGCCAAGAGGGGCTCATCAGCTACGACTGTTTCATAAACATCCTCATGCAGATGAGGCGCTCTTTGGTAAGTAATCACCTGAGCAACAGTTGGTTGGTTTTATTAATGGATAGTGATGTTTTTAATGTGTGCAGCTGTATGAGAGGTAATAAACAGATAAAATAACGTGTGTTTTCTGTGACATGATGCAGATAACCAGTGTAAAGGTGTACCACAGGGTTAATAAGTCACAGTGTAAAAAAACACCATTTAATGTTGTGATGGTAGCTAAAGAGATGTCAGTTTGATGAAGGTTTTAGCTGGTGTAATCATTTAATCATGGATTGTTTACCAAAGAAGCATCATCTATCTGTTGTTTTAAAGTTAACTCTGTTTTGAAACAAGAGTTAGCATGTTAGCATATAAAATACTGTATATACAGCCTGCTGCAGCCTCACCAGAGGCTACTAATAACCAGTTAGCATTAGCTTACAAAGAGCAGAAATAATATTAATTACTGCAGAGTTCTAAGTATATAGATCTGGTGCTGTAGTTTAGTTGGATGTTTGTGGATGTTGTGGTGTAAGGGTTCAACCTTACACTCTTATAACAAGGTTATAAGGAACGTATTTAGCAAGGATCTCTTTATTTTTGGTAAAATATTCTTCCAGTGCAAATTGAATGGACACACAATAAGTTACATGAGTCAGTGAATTTTGATTTGATCCATAAATAAATGCAATCGTTCATTTTACAAATCAGACAAAATCACTACAGTACACTTGATTGTGAGCAATTAATTTCCTATAAAAGTTTTAGGACCAACAATAACAAGCGCTTCGAGCTTAACCGTTACACTAACCGTCTCTTAAAGTAGAAACTCAGTGATTGGCACATATTTATGTGAAGAACGGCCTAAGTTGTCATTAAAATAGGCGGCTCATGAACAATTGTGTCTTAATGACATTTACAAACTATTTTGGGTATTTTATTCTCATTGTCTTTGAATAAATCAATATTTATCTTGGTTTAATAAAAGTGTTAGAAATAAAAACACAAGATGTGTCCAAAATCTGTTTTATGTGCAGGAAGAAGCTGAAACTTATTCTAACTGCTGGGTATAATATTCAAGGAAATTCAAGGGMATTTAAGGACAATTTATTGCCAGAGCAACAGAGTGCATGAGATGCAACAAAATTTGTTACTTTGTTCATGTTTCAGCCCAGCAACAGACAGTAAGAGTGCAATAATAATAATAAAAATAGAATAAATGAGTATAATTATAAATATGTTGTGTTCTTTCAGTCTCATTAAATTAAGATAACTTCAAATAAATATTTAGGAATTAAAGTAATATAAAATCTTTATTAGTTATTATACTCAGGGTATGGGGTCTCATTTATAAAGGATTGCGTRGAAACCATACTAAAAGTGAACGTATGGCCAAAAGGCAGAAATGGCGTACGCCAAAAAAAATTCAGATTTMTAAAACCGTACGTACGCATGTTTCTGAGCATCTTTCCTTTATGAATCACAGCCGCACGTCAGAGTTTGAACACGAGGTCCTCCTCAGGTTCTACCCTCTACACGCCYACATTCAACCATAAACAGTCAATGTAAAGTACCTCATGAATGTTAAGATGTATTTAAATCAGTCAGATGATCAGTGATTGGTTCAGWCMYRCTCCTTCATGTGTCTGGAGGATGACAGGTGCTGACTGACAGCTGCTCACCTGAACAGATTGTCTGGAACTGACACAGATTTTCCCTCATTTTGATTTAGAGTAATCTAACGATTTTAAATAAAAAAAAGACTCAGCTTCAAATTAATTTTCCCTCAGAGCCTGCAGGATGATAAAAACAATAAAAATTAAATTAAATAAGTCAGATAAAATTAGAAATAAGTTCACCGCTCTTCTCCTCGTCCTCTCCCCCTCCTGCCTGCTCTGTTATCCGCGGCAGACACCCCCCCCCCGCGCACGCACACACACACACACACACACACACACACACACACACACACACACACACACACACACACACACACACACACACA